CCACTCACAGCAAAGGATCAAAGGTCACAACTAACTACTAATATCTGCTGTCAGTCGATGAAAGAAATATGTTTGACTCMATGCTGCCCTCTGCTGGACAAACTGGAGATTTACAGCTCAGAGGTTTTTTTTATTTTATTTTTATTTTTTGGGATTCAGTAAAAAAGCCAAACCACTTAATAAACAATCAATTTTTTTGTAAAAACGCACTGAATGAGGTAGTTGATCATTACAGAATACATTGATACACTTCTCATCTTTATTAGGATCAGTGGCTAACTAATCTAAAAATTGATAGGGACTATACTGGACACTAATAAAAATGCCTATAAAGTAGCATCCAGTCAAAACTTCCTTTCACTGTGTTTATATTGTACAGGAATTTTTTAAAGAAAGTTTTGTAGTCATAAAACACTTTCATTGAATATTTCTATGTTAGAACACTCACTAAACCCTTACAATTTTATTTTTATCAAGATGATGTTTATCAGGTTTGATTAGAAAAGTTACAAAACTCTGATCAATCGGTACAGGTAATGATTAAAAAAARAATACAATTACACCAATAGTGCTCAGCCTGTACTGGAGCCAAAAAAGGAGAGGAAACTCATGAAGAAGTCTCGCGAGATCAGCGCGTTCAAGACGACTGGGGCTCGAAGTTTACAGATCTGTGGATGAATCATAACAGCATCAAGATGTCGGGACGATCAGGCCGCGCCGAAACCCGGAGTCGGGCTAAAGACGACATTAAAAAGGTCCTGGCGGCCATCGAGAAAGTCCGAAAATGGTATGTGAGCTAAGTGTGTGGAGTTAAGAAGGAGGGGAGGCAGAGGTTTTAGACGACCATTGCTTGCTATTTTGCTGCGTCGCTCAACAAACTTCAGTCGGAAAAGTTAGATGATTGACGGAGCCGTGGACCAATCAGAGCCGTCGAATGGGGCAGAAGCGGGGTGGGGCCAGTAGAGTTTTTTTTTTTTTTTTTCTGCTGAGATCTGTCAACATGGCTTCAGCTGGCCGACATGCGGCGGACTGGGATGTGCGACGGTTTARATGTAAATTAAAATGACTATTTCTCGAAAATAATTAGAGATATGATGGACTTTCATCTCTCCTCACGACAGAGAAAACGAAGAGGAAGTGTAGGCTGTACCACACGGATTATAACGGATATCATTAGGGTGCGAAATGATAGGGTGTCGACTTCATCTTTAGGAGGTATGAAGAGTGGCAGTCCCGTAGCATGTCTCTGTATGCAGCTGGTTTTAGAAGAACATCTMATTTTATATCAACAGTTAAAAGGCCCGAATTACTCTAAATTAAATGATCTGAGTCTAAATATCAAACCAGCCCCGCACATTGTACTGCTTCTAATAATAATCAGTTTCAACATGACAAACAGGAAGATGACACAACCATACTGCATCTACAGTAGGTGTGTTCCTCACTATTATTAAAGATCAAGATCACTTTATTTAATTTGGGAGCTTTTTTGTGGAAAAATGTCGACATAAAGAGATCATTTTAAAGAGAAGAGACACAGGACTAAAGAGGTTTATGTTGAGTCTTTTCTAATGTTACAAAATAAAACATTTGCCCCAACTTCCCAGCATTAAAGTGATAGCACAGATCTTTTGAAGAGGGGTTATGATTAATTAATATCTTACCTGTTGCAGCTCTTTGAATGACCTCAGTCTGGAGAAGCAGAGTTTGATTCTGACTAGATTGACTTGACAGCTAGACTGAAGTGGACTGCTGCCATCTTACAACAACTGTAATGTAAAATAAATGATAGCAATTCATGCAAATACATGCAACTTTCATATTAGGTAATTATTTATTTCAAATTCTCTGGTTAATGTGCAAGTAGGGCGAAACTGCTTGCACTTCCAGAAGAAATTCTGCAAATTTTTTTCCAGAATAACTTTATAATGCTAAAATTATGACAAAGCAAAAGTTATGAACCTGTGTGAATCACCATAAAATGTTGGAGAAGTTGTTTTAAATTGGCAGAAAACCCACTCGGTCTTAGCCCAGGCCATTTTCAACAAGCCTATCAGAATAAACTATTTTTCCAAACTGTGTTCAAAGGTCTATCTACGACAAGAAAGACCTCTCACTGATGACATCATTTATTATCAGCTGCCTCTCTGCTCTGCACAAAGCACAAATGCAGCACAACAAAACTTAATGCAACTTTTAGCCTCTATTTAAATTTCAAACATGCACATGAATTTAACAGCTGCATTAAACACTTTGTATTAGTTCTTTATGCAATATAAGGTTTTAATTTTTAGTACAATTGTTACAAAAAAATTTTTTAATTTATGTTCAGCTTGCCAGGTGCTCTCTCGTGCTTACAGATTAAGGGAAACAATTAAAAATAAACACTACACCCTCCTAAAAGGATGTCCTAACTTGAGTTTCAACATGATTTTAAAGAAAAAGACTGCACCTTTTGTAATCTGGTTCAGTGTCCGGTCGTGAGACTGATGCACTTTGAAAAAATGAAACTATGCCGAGCTCCTTTCTAATAATATTCAAATGACTTTCATCCCCAGGGAGAAAAAGTGGGTGACAGTTGGCGACACGTCATTACGCATCTTCAAGTGGGTGCCAGTAACAGAAACGAAACAGGTGTGGGCACTCGTCATGTCAGCACTCCGCCTCTTTTGTGTTACTCATCTGCGTCCACCTCACAAAATCTGCTCTCTGCCTTCCTTCAGATATTTCGCACCAAATCCACTAGTGGAGAGGCCCGGGGGATGAAAGATGTGGTCTTGGAAAACACCAACACTTTGCTGGATTTTGCTGGTAGGCTGTTTTTTTTTTTAAGAAGGCTACGATAAAGTTTGCATTAAAGAAAACTAAAACTTGTTGACGGTGACCTCATCTCTGCTGTGATCTCAGATGAAAACAGCAACCAGAGCTTTCTGTCAGATGTTTATCAGTCCAAAATGGACAACAGCAGCAGCAACTCCAGCTCCCAGCAGGTCAGCCCGCCGCACTCCTACAGTCTCCGAGCTGAAGACTCTCAGCCTCCGATGCTCGGACAGGAAAGTGTGGATGGTACGTGGACAGCGCTCTACTACACTACTAAATACTTCTTTTTCTCTGTATCTTTTTTTCATCTACAATATGTTTTGTCCCAATTAACAAAAATGCTATAGTTTCTGTGCCGTACCAGTAGGTGGCGAAAATATCTCCGATAATAAAGAATATACAGCAGGTAAAATAAGTATTGAACACGTCACCATTTTTCTCAGTAAATATATTACTAGAGGTGCTAATGACATGAAATTTTCACCAGATGTTGGTAACAACCCAAGTGATCCATACATACAAAGAAATCAAACCATAAGTGTCCAGAAATGAAGTTATTTGTAATAATGTGGAATTGCACAGGGAAAAAGTATGAAGGTTTCGTGGACCTCTTCTCTGAACTCTGATCTTTAGTTCTTTCCATAGATTTTCTGTTGGATTCAGGTCAGGTG